TTCCTAGTTTCTCTTACTAGAATTTATTAACCTTTCCTTGCCTTCCTGCCTCCAACCTGTACAGACCTACTGAAACTGCTCTTCCCATCCGGGATCCGCTCCATCTATGCTGTAAAACTGAATGTTTTGATCTGAAGCATGGGCCAGGGAACTGAATTTTGCCTTTGCTGCTGCAGTCTTGAACGATTATAAGCAGAGATCCAGGAGAATTCTTTCGATCCTTGACATCAGTCTGTAATTTTATGACCTTACCAGCTTCATGGCTTCATCTTAGGGGTAAATTTTCCATTCCTATGCCACAAATCATTTTAATCTTTTCTGCTGACCTTGGTAAAATGCCCTCTCTGCATTGTTTACTCCTGTCAGGTTGTTACCCAAGTGCTCTGGACAGTTTCAGCTGAGGTAATTAGCTTTTTGTTTGCTGAGAAATCTGCTTCAGTTATTCTTCACTTTGCCTGCTAAACACAGGGGTATACTTCTAGGCCAGAATAAAGGTCCCATTCTGTTTTACAGAAAATTATGTTTCAGGCTTCAGTTTCTCATTTTAAATCCCATCAAAGCACTGTTACGTGCTTTGTACCAGCAAAGCCACATGTAGTGAGCTAACCCAGGTGGAGAATAACTGATCAGAAAAGTTATTTGGTGTAGTTTACTATTTACCTGCAGCAACAGCTCTGTTTATATCATACAAAGGGAAACACACAGGTGAGAACAGTTTGTTAGGGGTGAGACTATTTATGAACCACCCCAGAACTGCACATGATCTGGGACTGCACATGTCTCAGAAGAAATGCAGGTGGAATAGCACATGAGGGAACAATGATATCATCACTTTTGCCTGCCACCTTTCTTCGTATTTATGAGTTTTGTGGTTTAAGATTACCACATATCATTAAGCTTTTAAGTTGTTGTAAGTAAACTTTTCTAAAACTGGAGTTTACTTTAAAAGAACTAGGAGTGTGAAGTGAGTATAGTGCTTAGTTTAAAAATAAAGTAGAAATGATGTGGTGTTCGGGTAATTCATATTTTCTATTTAAAGTAATAGTATAGCAACTTTACAAGAAGGTATGTATAGTTTCAAGAACAGTCAGTAATATGTTCTTATTTTATAAGGCAGTTGTTTAAGAAGATAAACATTTTCATCCAGATTGCAAAAAAAGTTGTCCTTAAAATTGTGTAGATCATTTTTAATTTAATTTAATTTTAAGTCAGTATTACAAGATAATTTGTTACCTGAAAATAATTAAAAAGGCCTACTATGAGTAACACCCACTGAATCTGTTCTAGCCTCTTTCACAGACAATGGAGAAGGTAAATTTGGAGTGTTTCTTTTGACGTTTTTAATATTTTCCCCGCCTGACTTCACAAAAATATTTTCCCCATCTTTTCCCAGTATTTCCCAATGCAGGCTACTGTGTTTGTATATGCAGTAGACATTGCCAAAAGCTTTTCAGATTGATTTCATTTGAAGAACTTAAAGCTTTTGCAATAGCAAAAGTACCAAACAGCTTTTAAATCATTATTAGTAATTGTCTTTTATAAGTGCTGTGTTTTCACATCTTGCTGTCACAAAGCTGGCCACATCAGTTCCATGGATAAAATTATTTTCAGGATTTTTATGACAGGCTTCCAGGACTTCATGCTCCAAAGATATACTGTCCGAAATATTCAGCCATTACAGAAGTATTTTTCTCAAATGTTGAAGACATTCATGTGATGATACATTCTGCATTTTATCACTCTTATTTGTTATAATAAAACATTCTTTTCCATTTGCAAAGCTGAGATATGACTTGGAATTTTTTGAATTTCAGAATCAACATAATTTGTCTTGTTCAGCTTTAAGTGTTAGAAGAAGCAGTTTAAGTCTTTTGGTGTTGAATGTTTGAATCTAGACTTAGTTAACTGAAGTTTTTTGTTGTTCTGCTGTTCTTGTTTTCTGAGTCTTGAAGCTGTCATCCACAGTATTTCCTTACAACCAGTACTTAGGGTTAGTCAAATCTTTTGTGCAAGGTTTCCATACAGCAATGTTAGGAGGCAGTTTAATTCCCTGCTCTGTTACTTCTCTTACCAAGCCTGAAACCACCTTGGTAAGTGGAGTGAGAGCTTGCAGTTTGTTTCTAACTGCTCAGGTTACTGCTTCCAGACTGAGCTCCTGTCTTAGGGGCAATTGAAACCAAAGTACTGCCTTGTTTATGTTGGGTTCCATTGCAGGGCACAACCTTAAAATGAAACAACTTATTCTTAAAAAGTGATTGTTGGGGTATTTGGTTTTGGTTTTTTTTCATGCTGGGGGTGGTAATTGAAATGGGTTGCCCAGAGAGGCTGTAGAGTCTCCATCCTTGGAACTATTCAGAACAGAACTGGACAATGTCCTGAGCTACCTGTAGCAGTTGACCATGCTCAGAGCAGGGGAGTTGAATTAGATGATCTCCAGAGCTCTCTTCCAACCACAACCATTCTGTAATTGTATAAAATTCAGTGTAAGTAGGTGGGTATCCACCTATGTGCATAGCCACAAAAACACTTCTCTTCCTGCTATTAACATGCTTATTTGCCTGGAGACCTGGGAGGTAGGACCTTCTTTGAGCTGGAATTTGGTGTTTAGCATTTCCAGTGATACAGATGTCTACCCGAGCTATTCTAAGTGTAAACAGTAGGAAAGTTAGAGGCATTGAAGGATAAATGCTCTTTAAGAATTAATTTTTTTTGTGTGATAAAGATTCCCCTTTCCTCCTCACTCCCAATGTTAAGACCTAGTCTATAATGATCCCTTTGTTGTGTAGTTGTTTAGAATTTTTACTTCTTTAGGATTATATGATTGGGAAAAATTATTAGGATCTAGTTCAGGAATTCAGTATTTTGGTCTTTTTAAAGTATTGCCCATTTCTAAAATACTCTGGAAATCTGCATAAGTGGTTTTTATTATTTCTTATAGCGTAAGTTTATATGGCAGTGGATTAATAAAATTACTTGCATCTTCAGAGCTTGTATTTGTTTAGTTTCTAACAAAATATATCCTGGAGACGTTTTACAGTTTCAGAAGATTTATAGGGCTGCATTTAATGGCAGTTTCTTTCCCCTGCTCTGCAGCATGTGCCATGGTGGTTCTAAGTGTGCTGTGCATGTTTGACAAGTTAGAAACTTAGCAATCCCCATCAGTGCTGAGCCACACTGTCTCAGGCTTTGTTTTTTTTGGCTGGTATCCAGTACCATGCTATAAAATACATTTACTTGACAGTAGAAAGTGGAGAACCACATTAACTACAAAGTTTAAAAAGGCTGGCTAAACACATGCAATAAATATTAATAAAAGAAAAGGCCACCCACCTTTGACCTTCAGTACTTGTTATTAACTTTGTGTGTTTTAGTTACCATAGCATTTTGAGCGTTATATAACAGTAAGTAAGAATCTCTTATTTAAATCAAACAGCTTATTAGCAACCCTGTATTGGTTATTTGGGTCACTTGTGGCAGGGATCATGGACATAATACATTATCAGAATTCTACTTTGTCCTTCAGAGTTACCTGTAAAAAGATTGTTGTCCTTCAGTTGTCTCGTAATAAGCAAGCCAGGTTTACTTTTACCTATAAGTAAGTGGGAAGGTATAATGTTGTATGTATATCTATGCAGAAGGAGGATGTTTTACAGAGTGACCTTGTACAGAATGGTCAGTTGATTCAAGCAAACTCATCTCACTGAACAGAGCAGAAAAACAGCTCGAAGAGAGTCATCCATCATTTTGTAGTAAAATGAAGTTCTGATTCATGATGGCTGAACGGGCTTCAGAATTTTTTTCAATATTTTTTATGTTACATGCCTCATAACATTCAAAGAAATGGGATCTGGACTAAACCAGAAATAGTGTGGAAGATGAAACGGGAAGTGATTCAGGAGTCATTCCAGCTGATACTTAACCATTCTTTTCCAGATTAGATGGTTCTCCTCTCCCAAGTTATAGGGCTATATTACACCCTGAATTATATTTTAGCTTTGCTGTGTAGGAAGCTTGGGGGAAAAAAAGGGCTAGAAAAAATGAGCATTTCTCAGTGAAATACTAACAGGATGATGCATCCTGCTAGCTCTGGATACATTTATTACATAGGTAACAGAAATACTGTTAAGACCTGTCTTCTGTCTGGAACAGCGTTCCTTTAAAGAGTTACTATGTCTCAAAAATAGATACTCCCCCCCTCAATTAGTCAGATGTACATACAGGTTTTTTGTGTGTGTTAAGATGTATTGACCTTTGTGGCAGATTGTACCCACTTTTTTGGTCTCTCGAGTCAGAAGCTTGAGCCTTACAGAGTTTCTGTGCTGGCCCCCTGAATCAGACTGAATACAGTAATCACATGGAGATTCAAAGTCACATGGAGAACTATGCTGTATGGATAAAAGAACAATGCTCTTAATGTCTGAAAACAAGTTTCCCTGCTGACCAGAAGGGTGACAGAGCTGTGAGACATTGGCTTCAAATACTAAGTTCTTCTGGGTGTTGTGGGGAAGAAAGAACCGAGAGTGGCCATCAGCTACTCTTCCGTTTCTGCAGTCAGCGAGTGAAAGGTCAGCACTGTGTGAGGAGGCGGCAAGAACAGATAAAGAACAGGGTGGAAGAATTAAGAATTAAAAATAAAAATGCAGAAGTCATGAAGGCCTGCATTGCTATATCTGAAGCACTTCACTGTTCTCCTTTAAATCCCCCTTTGACTTTCTATTTCTATTATGCCCACAAAGACCTTGGAGCTGTGAGCCTGTGGAAACCACTGGTTATCACACTGCCACCAATTTATATTTCCTTCTCTGCCTACAGCCATATGTCGCTCCCTTTACATTGTATTCTGCTCTGGAGAGGAACTTTTATTCATTCACATATTCATTCATGTGCTTAAGCTTGTTCCTGCTACAGTGTGACTTCGATCCACTATTTGACAATATGAATATTAATTCCAGGATCTAGATGAATGACCAACTAACTGTCAATATGTTGCTTTATTTCAGAGTGTTGTGCGTTGCCTTTGGCATCCCAAGCTGAACCAGATCATGGTTGGTACAGGAAATGGTTTGGCCAAAGTGTACTATGATCCTGTCAAAAGCCAAAGGTATGTAATCATGGTTAATGATTAAGAACATCATTTTTTTCTCAATTTTAGCCTGATTCTCTAGTTCTAAGATTATACTAAGAAACAAGAAAACCTGGTTTAGTAACATTTGCTTTGCAAAGTTTTACTTATTTACTAACAGTAGAAAGAAAAAAAAAAAACCAAAACACCCAAACCAGATTGTTTCTGAAAAGCAATACATTTTCCTTTGGGCTTTTCATAGTGCAGTATGCCAGCTGTTCTACCTGAATTTACAAAGACTTTCATTTCTTAATTGCATGAAATCTGCAGTAAGAATAACCAACCTTTCATGTGATCTCTTGGAGGTTGCTGATGTGGTGTTATTGAAAGGATATTTATTGTATTCAGTCATACTTTTTGATGACTTTTCTTTTTCTGAAGTAAAAATCTTATTTAAAAGCATTAGCTTAAACTTCAGTGTCTGTGAAGTAATACTGGAAGACCCAATTTGGGAGGGGGCAAACCAAGAAAGCACGTTCCAATCTTTCTGCGAGTCTTCTCCCCCACCCGTCACATGTGGATTTTGCCTTTACATGTAATGGAAAGGTGGTAGTGATTCATCAGAAGGGGACTTGTCAGCGTAGAATGAAAAGAAGAGGACTTAACTAGTCTATAAATACTTCTTTTGCAGTTAGTTTGCTTTTACTGTCCTGATTAGCTGGAGAATTGGGGCATGCTTCTTTCCTGTCAGCAGGGGGGAAATGTACCCTTCATCTGTACTGAATGGTATGAATAAGGTGTTCTTCCCCTATATGCACTCACCTTTGTTTCTGGATGCTCATTGTGACCTGGACACTTGGATGTGAAGATAGACTCTTGTTCACAAGATTATCAGAAATAAGTTTTATTTTTCTGGTCTTTGTCAATTTAGAGAACAAGAGAGTTGGTCATCCTTGTTTGGACCCCTCTCCAGAGGGCAGCCTGAGTCTCCTAGGCACAGACCACAAGAGTCCTAGCTCAGTTTTGTGCCCAGTTTCTTTCCTGGTACTTACCATGAGGAGGAAAATACCACCAGTTTAAATGAGGCTTACTGCAGCCAGCCTTATACAGTCTTTCCTGCTGCAGTGTTAGACACCCCTGGTTAAATAACTGCCACCCCTGCTGCTTAGGAAGAGGGCTAGGAGCAAATCATTGCCCATGTTTGGAGAGGAGCACTTCCAATGCACAGGCTACAAGTACTGTGGACAAATGAAGTGTGAAATGAATCTTCCACCCTTATTTCCTCATGTCACATAAACTGCTCTGTAGCAGAAATGCTAATCTCTCCACCCTCCTTCACATGTGCATGGACAGGCAGAAATACACACATTCATGAATATTTAAAGTGCTACATAATTTTGTTGCGACTGTCTTGAAGAAAAAATGGTTTCTGTTTGATATAAACGGACCAACTGAACTGCTGTATGTTTCCTCCTAGGGGAGCAAAATTATGCGTGGTCAAAACAAAACGAAAAGAGAGACAAGCGGAGACTCTTACACAGGATTACATTATAACACGTAAGGAATTTAAACATATCTTTATAGCAGCATATCTTTATAGCTCTTTCTCAGGTTTGAAATTATTTGTAGATTGTTTAGCTTTATATTTTCCCCTCTAAAAAGTTGCAGTCTATCATTAAGTGTTGATCGTTGGTGTGACATGTTCGTACTTCATACAAATTCTTTTTGTAGCCTTGCACAACCAGGAAGTTATATATTCTGTACGCTCTGGAAAGTTGTCAATAATGGTTAGTTTGTAGATTCTGATGCACCTGAAGGACAACAGCCTTAAAAAACCAAACCAACCAAACAAAAAAATCCAAAACAAAACTTAAATATTTTGGAGCTTTCTTAAATCCTCAGTTTTGCATAACTAAATTGGTGAGTGTAGGTGGGCTTAGGAAGTGTTCAGCCACTTGGGAACATTAACAATATCAGTGGCAATAGCAGAGACATTAGAGATAGGTCTTGAAGAAATTCCAAGTAATTTTTGCAAAATTTAGAACTTGCCCAGAGTCATATGGGGTTTTAAATAGCTTAAATATCTCTCTAGCCTCAGGGTTGTACTTGTATAAGACCTTATGTTCATATTAAGGCTCAGTGATGCATAAGAAATAGTTATCGTTGTTACTATAAAATGTTTAGTGATCTGCCTTTTCCCAAGGGCAAATTTTGCAAGGGGATGAGGGGCTCAGCTGAGAGATTTTGGCCTTCCCCATTAGCATTGTGCTATGTAGCGTTTCCTCATGTGAAATGAGTCCCGTCACACAGTTGTGCTGTCTGACCCCCTTTTCTTTCTCTTTTCCCCCCCCCCCCCCCCCCCCCCCTCTTTCTTTCTGCTCTTTAATCTCAAGATTGCCTGTAATGACTATTTAAAATGCAGGAATGTTGTTTTGAGGGATTAGGTGTTACTTTTAAAACACAGGAATATGCAGTTTGGGTTTCCCTTCAGAAGTCTTGACTCTACAAATGGCAAAAGCTTGTATCTGTGCATTAGTCACCTCAGATGCTCTATGCAAACTAATCAAGCTCAGTGCTTGCCAGCAAATTGTTCCAGGCATTTCATACTTCATGAAATCTGCAAAAATAAAACCTAAACATTTCTTTCCAGAGATCTACTGCCGTGTCACCTGGCTGTGACTTCACTCAGTCTAATAAACTGAGCAGGCTTCCAGAAATAAGCTGAAAAATCAAACTGATAGGTCCCTGGATGCACCATTCTGGTTTTTTGTATTCAGTATGGAACTGGCGCTCCTAAATTTAAGATTTGTTTAGTTAGTTTTTGTTGGTTTTGGGTCTTTTGACCCCAACACAATTTCCCACATTTTGGGAAGCAGCAGCAATCAGCACACCTGAATGTGAGAGCTAAACCTCACAAGAAGAAAACTGTGTCCCTTAACAGGGTGTTTCTCTGTTGCTGACAATTGTGTCTCTTGTCTGAGTGGCCCAAAACCATTACTGTGATTGACATTACTGTAGCAGGTTTATGAGGAAATGGAATTTTTAAATCCTGGTAGTTTAGCCAGATTGTCCCAGTTACAGGTATTCTTCCAATCTTGATTAATCTCATAATTTAAGAAGGAACATGATTGTGACTTCATATGCAGAAACACTACATTTTGGATCACTGAGGGGATTACACCCCTCTCTTTTTCAGATCCAAGAATGTATCTGGGGTTTTGTTGTGCTCTTAGAGTATTTGAAAGCTGTAAAAACATGGAAAGTTCAGAAAAGAGCAACTGGTTGGTCACAGTGCTAATGTTGAGAACTGAATGGCAAAGAAATAAATTAAATATGCATAATTTGTGCAAATAGTATTTCAGAGGAAACGCTCCTGCCTGAAGGAACCCTGGAAATCTGGCTGCTTTCATCTTTGAAAAATTCAACAGAAAGAAGCCATCTAAAATACACATCAGTAAACCGCTGCTTGGCTACAGTAGAATGGGAGGCTGCTTCTGCCACCTTTTCCATTGCAAGGAAGAATCCCAGTCATCTTTGTATTTGTAATTAATACCTTAAAAGAAAATGTAATTTCTAACATCTCTTTTTCTCCAAACTGTCACCCTTCAGCCCACGCACTTCCAATGTTCCGTGAACCACGGCAGCGAAGCACCAGGAAGCAGCTGGAGAAGGATAGGCTGGACCCCATGAAGTCTCACAAACCTGAACCTCCAGTAGCAGGACCAGGTAATCTAGGCATAATCGTTTCAGACTGTCATATGCCAAAGGGGCCGTCATGCTTGGGTTCCACAGTCGTTCAGATTTGCATTCAAACTTTTTTGGGTGGCAACTCTACTATATATATGTGGGCAGTGTCCAGCACTCTAAGACATTGGTCTTTGGAGTGCTTGCCTGGAATAAATTAACAATTGCAATGACTTACTTTGTTATATAATCAGTAAAACACTTACGTGAATGCAGCTCTAATTTAGACTCTTCCTATAATACTAAATAACTTCTTTGTATCAGAGCACTGTTACAGACACAATACAACATTTATACGTTTATTTCTTAAAGAGTATTCTAGAGAAAAATACTTCCTTTTCTTTTTTTTTTTTTTTTTTTTTTTGCTACAGGTCGTGGTGGGCGTGTTGGAACTCACGGAGGTACCTTGTCGTCATATATAGTCAAGAATATTGCACTGGATAAGACAGATGATAGCAACCCTCGAGAGGCTATTTTACGTCACGCAAAGGAAGCGGAGGAGAATCCATACTGGGTTGCTCCGGCATATGCTAAGTAAGGAAACAATTAAAAATTCAAGTAATATTTCTGGAGGCTAGTGGGAGTTTGGTAAAAATAGAAGACACGCATTTTTAATGGTATACTTTGCCTTTTCTGGATTGCTGCCATGAATATGTAAACCCAGAATATGCCATACTCTTTTATGAAGATAAGAGTTTCTAGGAGGTTAGATTGTTGAAATTTGACATTTCCATGTTTAAGTTGTACCTATCAGTGCTAGAAAATTATTTTAAGGCTTTCTAAGTTGATTAGAATTTAGAATCTTCTCCAAATCAGTGTCTGAAATTGCAATATACCTTTTAACAAGGTATATGACTGACTGGAATGATAAGTTTTCCAATATGCCCTCTAGTTCTGACTGATTCTTAGGTTAAGCCTTCAAAATATTTACTTGGTGTTATGACAGCATATTTTAGATGATTTCTCAAATATCATAAGTTTTTATTTGAATTTTTCCTACATAAGGACTTGAGTAACTGCTTGAATTAACTTGGTGTTAAAGGTATAGCAATATTAAAAATTGCACTGATAAAATCTCCTACCAAAAATTCAACGCCAAGAAATAAGTGTTCAGTTGTTCTTATGTAAATTAAAGAGCTTCATCAAGATTATGGTAGTAAAATCTCTGTAATCCCACAGATGGTAATTTACTCAGTTTAGATGGTATGTGTGAGTGTGGTATTTGTGTTTGTGTTACAATAAAACCGGTGCAATATGCTTCTAGAATGCTTTCTACCAAAGATTTTTTTTCTAAAAATAGATACAATTCAAACCATCAAATACATTCACAATAGCACTAAAATAAATACTAAATAAATGCATTTCATACTGGCAAACAGAAACCAGCACTTTAAAAATTACTAAAATTTTCACATTTTATTATTATCATTGATGTTTTTGCTACACAAAATAACCTATCTAGTATAAGTAGTATTTTCAAAATGGAAAAGAAAAAGGTTTTGAAGTGATGGAAATACTGGCAGACTGTTCTGTGCAGACTAACAAACTATTTTTTTATCTCCTAGGCTGTATGTTTGTTAGTACTTTACTGACTGTACTTTGTTTTATTAATGTTTAGCTCTTTAGTGAAACAATCACCACCTCTTTCCAGAAACTCAACATATATTAAGAATCATAGCTGTTTCTAGTGGTGACGCTTGTTTTCTGACTTGACCCACGTGCTCACAAAGATAACCGAAGAGCTGTTCCGAAGCAGCTTGAGAACATCAGTGACCCAGCCTGGCTTTGACTGCCTAATAAATACGTACGGCATTTGATGTTGTACATCAAATCAGTGCATGATACAGCATCACCCTTGGTACAAAAGAAGGAATATTTGAAAGCCTGATTCTGTAACAGTTGTTGTCATGAATATGCTAAATATTGATTTTTGATTGTTTGAGAGTTCATGTTTGCTAGAGATGAAAATTACTTTGAATGTGTAGGCACCTGGTTTTATTTGAGATATGCAGCTATCCATTCTCAAAAGTAAATACAATCACACATTCCATCAGGCAGATAGATACCTCTATGTATTTTTGGCTCAGTAACCTCATTGATTGTATATTAAGTCTCATCCCTGACACCTGCAATATAGTAGGCATGAAAGTTTTAAAACATAGCTGTATTACAGAAGGCTTACTTTGTCAGGTGGACAGATCTAATTTACAGTTTCTTGTTAAAGATGTACCTGCAGGGGAAGAAGAGAGCTGGCTGAGAAATGGGGAGGATGCAAGTCCAGACTGCTATTAACTTACACACCAGACGGTGATAGTTATGTGGGGGAACTGGGCTGCAGCCAACAGCATGCTGCCTTGATGGTTTTGTCAGCTGGTAAATCTCATGCCAGTGAAACTGCCATTATCCTTGCTTTAAAAACTTGACTTTAAGATGTGCTCTATGCAAAGAGCATACTGTTGTTGTTGTTGTTATTATTATTATTATTATTATTTGGCTGAGACACTGAAATGCAAAAACTTTCTTTATAATTGTGTTATGTTCTTAATTTTTGAAAATGGAGGTCTAACAGCTGCAGACCAATGACAGTCGTAGGTTTCATTAGCTGCTTGCCTGCACCCACAGGTAATACAGAAAGCTGTGTTAATTATATCCTATATCTGAATTTACAGGGCACATATGTTTAACCTGTGTGTAAAGCATCTTATGGATGCATATTTATGGAATATATACATATGCAAATTATAAGTACTTGATATAACTTATCACATAATACTGGATTGTAAGAGTGCCCCTGGGGGCCCTGTTAAAATCAGGAGCTCATAATAACAAGCAGTATACAAACCTAAGAAAACTGGCGTCTTAGCTATCGTATAATATATACTGTAAAGTTAGGTAAGGTGACATTCTGGTACATACTTAAAATTACATATGTTCTTGAGACCTAAACCCAAATATCCAGTATGTTTCAGTTTATTTAAATAGTGTTTATTCTTTTTACGACTTTATTTCTCTGCCACCACTTTTTCCACATTTCTTGTAGTAAATTTTCACTTAAATATGGTATAAAACTATCAACTTGATATATCTTTTGTTTGACAAGGTTTTTGGTTTTGTGTTGTCTAATGGATGGTTATTCACGTACAGTTTTTCATTCTCCTTAAGTCAATGTCCAAGGAAACTATAGTTACTTACTTCAGTGATGTTTATTGAATAATTTTAGGCTGAGAAGACTGAGAAACACTTTTTTCTGGTTGATCAGAGTTTTCATAGCTCTGAGTGTGATGACTCTGTTAGAGTTCATCTGGTCCTGATTCATACCAGTTAGGTCATTCTAAATGAGATAACTGATTTCATGCTTTTTTAATTGCATTTTCACTTCAATAGTTCCTATAAGAAATACCTGCATCATGACTTCTGCCATTAATTTCTACATTGTATGTAGAAATATTTCCTTTTTGTTGGAGTTAAAGGTGCCTAATTTATTCTTGAAGCCAAATAGTAATTTGCATTATTTATCACTTGAAATTTTTTTTCAGGCTTGTTATCATTAGCCTGACCTTCTTGTTTCTCCTAAAATTTGAGCCAGAAAAGGAGGGGGAAGTACGTAAGGGGAAAAGGATGGATGAAAAGGATACCGGGGTGATAAGAAGTAAATGCTGAATCAGGAAATGACATATCACAGAAGCCCAGTGTGAATAAAGTGTCAAAAAAGTTGTGATCAGCACAGCAGAAAAATCATAATGGATGAGGATAAAGAAAAGATCTTGAGATTTTTCAGGAAAAAGCTTGTTAGAGACCTTGGCAAGAGACATTCCAGTGGAGTGAAAGGAAAGGAAGGGCAGATTGAAAATTTCAAGTAAAGAACTACAGAAAAGGAACTTGAGGCATCAGTTGTAAATGTTTGAGAATTACATTCTTTGTGAGCTGTTTGTTTTAACACAGCTGTACAGAGATACTAT